AGATCCAGCTCAGAAATACATAAGGTGAGCGGAGATCCAGCTCAGAAATACATAAAGTGAGCGGAGATCCAGCTCAGAAATACATAAAAGGTGAGGGGAGATCCAGCTCAGAAATACATAAAGTGAGCGGAGATCCAGCTCAGAAATACATAAGGTGAGCAGAGATCCAGCGGGAAATTCATCGGAGCAATTCATCGGTCTGAAATGAAATCAAACGGACTGCAGTTACTGTTAGACAAGGTATAGGTAAGAGTAGAGTTATCTCTGCCTGGCTGTTTCTTGTGCGCATGAATGACCTCAGAAATGAGTTTGACAGTTAGGTACAGAATTAGGTATATATAACGTTAGATTGCCATGTGTTATTTGATGATGGTATTATCTTTATCAGTTAATTAGCTCTAGATACAGTTTCTAATTGCTCATCCAAACGGAGACTAACTTATAACGCATCGAAAAGCGCCACCATTGCTTATGTAGGTCTTTATAATATGTCGGCTATATAGAGAGAGTACAGCTACTTGGGCGTCTCTGTAACAACTCATGTGTCACAATCTGTAAAACTCTTTCTGTGCATCTTGTATTTTCATAAGTTAGGTTATGTGGAATGCTGCCTTCAACAGTCACAGCTAAACCTACTCAGTCATGTATTTCACTACGTTTGCACAGCAAAACGCAAGTGCAGAAAGATTATACCAAGTGAATGAAAGAGGAAGTATGAAAATGTTAATTATCAAGTAGAACAATGTCTGAAATCCACACAAGATTTACACGACGTGTTACACAACATGGTTATGTTGTATCCAAACTTGGGGAGGTTATACAGCATGTAATATCGATTGGAAGAAGAACGTACAGATTTTAATACTTTTGCTGAAGAGTATTATTACCATGTAATCCTAAACTGTGGATGTTTACTTTCAGAGAGAAAGAGAGAGAGAGAGAGAGAGAGAGAGAGAGACAGGGAGGTTATACAGCATGTAATATGGATTGGAAGAAGAACGTACCGATTTTAATACTTTTGCTGAAGAGTATTATTACCATGTAATCCTAAACTGTGGATGTTTACTTTCAGAGAGAAAGATAGAGAGAGAGAGAGAGAGACAGGGAGGTTATACAGCATGTAATATGGATTGGAAGAAGAACGTACCGATTTTAATACTTTTGCTGATGAGTATTATTACCATGTAATCCTGAACTGTGGATGTTTACTTTCAGAGAGAAAGATAGAGAGAGAGAGAGAGACAGGGAGGTTATACAGCATGTAATATGGATTGGAAGAAGAACGTACCGATTTTAATACCTTTGCTGATGAGTATTATTACCATGTAATCCTGAACTGTGGATGTTTACTTTCAGAGAGAAAGAGAGAGAGAGAGAGAGAGAGAGAGAGAGAGAGAGAGAGAGACAGGGAGGTTATACAGCATGTAATATGGATTGGAAGAAGAACGTACCGATTTTAATACCTTTGCTGATGAGTATTATTACCATGTAATCCTGAACTGTGGATGTTTACTTTCAGAGAGAGAGAGAGAGAGAGAGAGAGAGAGAGAGAGAGAGAGAGAGACAGGGAGGTTATACAGCATGTAATATGGATTGGAAGAAGAACGTACCGATTTTAATACCTTTGCTGATGAGTATTATTACCATGTAATCCTTAACTGTGGATGTTTACTTTCAGAGAGAAAAGAGAGAGAGAGAGAGAGAGAGAGAGAGAGAGAGAGAGAGAGAGAGTGAGACAGGGAGGTTATACAGCATGTAATATGGATTGGAAGAAGAACGTACCGATTTTAATACTTTTGCTGATGAGTATTATTACCATGTAATCCTGAACTGTGGATGTTTACTTTCAGAGAGAAAGAGAGAGAGAGAGAGAGAGAGAGAGAGAGAGAGAGAGAGAGAGAGAGAGAAGAGGAGGATGAGACAGGGAGGTTATACAGCATGTAATATGGATTGGAAGAAGAACGTACCGATTTTAATACTTTTGCTGATGAGTATTATTACCATGTAATCCTGAACTGTGGATGTTTACTTTCAGAGAGAAAGAGAGAGAGAGAGAGAGAGAGAGAGAGAGAGAGAGAACTGTGGATGGAGAGAGAGAGAGAGAGAGTTATACGGCATGTAATATGGATTGGAAGAAGAACGTACCGATTTTAATACCTTTGCTGATGAGTATTATTACCATGTAATCCTGAACTGTGGATGTTTACTTTCAGAGAGAAAGAGAGAGAGAGAGAGAGAGAGAGGAGGTTATTATACAGCATGTAATATGGATTGGAAGAAGAACGTACCGATTTTAATACTTTTGCTGATGAGTATTATTACCATGTAATCCTAAACTGTGGATGTTTACTTTCAGAGAGAAAGAGAGAGAGAGAGAGAGAGGTGGAAGAGAGAGAGAGAGAGAGAGAGAGAGAGAGAGAGAGAGGAGGCTGGGAGAGAGGAGGGTGGAAGAGAGAGAGAGAGGAGGGTGGAAGAGAGAGAGAGATGTATTCTTTTCTACTCTAACTGATACTCTTGATGTTGAAATGTGTGTTAAAATTGTTATTGGTGCAGACAATATTCACATTGATGAAATAACGTGTCTTTTTATTATTTTGTTACTTCATCATTTAACTGCATAACTGATACTTTGAGAATCTTCGAATTTATCTGGATGAAATAAAGACGTTCATTTATTTGGGCTCAGATCCCAGGATTGAGAAATGTATTCTTACGCGATGTGTGGTTCAGCTATTTCAGAGAGGCAGTGGGGTTTTAAAATATATTGTTTGTATGTATCTCCCCCCATTGTATACATAGACTGGGGGTGGTTGGAGCACATGCAACATTCACAGAGTAATGCTTTTGTTGATGACAATATAGAGTCTCCTTGTGGACAGGACAACCTGTCGGAAATCATTGTTTTTAATTTTGTTGTGTGTATGTCTTGTCCTCCTAGCAATATGAAAAGTTTTTGTTGAGAAAATTTGCTTTCAGCGATACGCCGTAATAAACATTATAATGTCCATCCTCACACGTGTGTAAAAAATTAAAACCGATATAAACAGGTATATCAGCCTTGAATGTAAGTCTTATGATGTGATGTCAATGCCGTTTCAGGGACATTGGTGAGAGAAGAAGGTGTTGACAAACCGATCAAACCGATGTTGGATCACGGCATCCTGGCTCATCTAACGGACGGAAGTGAAATAAACTGCAACGCTTCTCAGACATGCCTGAACCAGCTTTCAATTTGACATATGGGTCAATCCGCTCCTACCCCATTCCTGATTTTATCCAAGACCAACTCCGCCCATGAAGAATAACACTAATTAAATGACAATTCCAATTTACATTTGACAACTTTACTAACATGCTGTGGTAAAATATTTATCAACATTATCTGTATCACATATCAATTCAGCTTCTCGTTGCTTCACTAAAGACTGGAAATTCACACACGTGTTATCAAAAACGGCCGACTGCTTCAAATAGAACAGCTGTATCCTGCTATCTCTACTCCGTGACAAACTGCTGCCATATGATTGCTTCGTGCGTTCTTGATAAAATATGTGTGCTAACAATAAGAACAGAAGCCCTAACCAAGTTGGTATATACTAGTATACAAGCCACAAAAGGAAACTGTGTATTCTAATAAATATTTCTAAATTTGAAAACATAACAACGATGATAACTTTCCATTAAAACCTCAATAAGTGGATATTGAGATCATAGCATCACCGCAGAATACCATGTTTAATGTCCATGACATTGACGTTAAGAGACCACGGGGCAGGGGTCAAGCAACAGTGTTACAAAAGTAATAACGGGTATGCCCACCGTGAGCAGCGAGAACTGCATCAAATGGACATGGAAGGCATGTGGAATGGCTTCCCTTATTCTCTGCAACTCTGCTGAAAAAACACAAACATTATCCGCTTCATTTCATCTCACACATGCTCCGCAGGGGACGGCCATTATCCTGATGGACGATCAATCCTAGGCCATGACGTTGAAGAAACGGAACTGCCACTGATCTCTGTCACATTGCCCTAAACCCTACAATGGTTCTCTGGCGTGCACCTATCATTACAAAATCCTTTCCATGACACAGGCTTTAGCATTATCATCCCGTCTGTATACACGATGACGTCCGTCGCTAGCGGAAATATTGAATATGGACTCGTCTGTTAAAACAAGTCCTCCACCACTGCTGAGATTGATAGACATGATTTTGGCACCGCCTTCGACGGTTTTCTCGATGACGTTGCGGATAGGTCGCATATAAATGTAATTACTAACGTCGTTATGCTGCTGAAAATGTTGAATCATGTTCATTTGGTATGTGATTTTACTCATAGATTTACTCAGCGCTACATTCCACCTACATTTACTAATTTTCAGTCCAAGAAAACTTTTTGTATTCTTATGTCGACACCAAAAAGGAACCTTTCCGTGTTCCTTTAAAAATGAATGCTCACCACTAACTCACTGCAACCCTTGTAAACACTGTACAGTTGCCTTACGGCCTGAACTTCAGAAAAATAAAACACATTCACATCACTGCAAAATCACAGCATTTCATAGTTGTACTTCCTGAAACAATAGCGACACTTCAGTGGCAAGGTATTTGCTAACTGATTTCATCTTTGAGTCTTTGACCTCCATTATGAGGTACACAGATTTTCTACGTCTATCCTTACTCCTTCGTCAGGGGATGAGCCAGTTCAATTTTGTTACAGTACAAGGGACACGTACAAACTAAATATGTTTATTGGAATGCAATATCAGAAGCCAAACCCAACCCTGTGGACGTAGCGCCACATGTTCCATCGAATCGTGACAATTAAGCAAGAGACGAAATAAATTCATGTCTAACAAATCCAAATATATCTACCTTTTCTTTTTAAAAAAGAAACTAAATAAAGCAAGACAACAGTCACGTCGCCAGGTCCTGTTACCTCGGCTACCACTGTTAGATAGGTTGTGTCTACTCTCTTTCCAGTGTTACTTCAAGAGGTATGAATTCAGTTGCCTTGGTGTTGACATTCTTCTGCCTAGTCTCGGCTGGCGGAAACAAGAATGTTCTGTTCCTTGTAGTGGATGATCTACGGCCTCAGCTGGGAAGCTACGAAGATCAACATTTCCCATCCCCGACCCACCCTAAGATGCACACACCCAATCTGGATGCCCTTGCAAAGAAGAGTCTGCTGTTGACACGAGGCTATTGTCAGTACGCTTTGTGTGGGCCCAGCAGGGCGTCAGCGTTGACTGGGAGAAGACCCGACTCAACTCACGTTTATGACCTTCGACGTTACTGGAGAGAAGTGGGAGGGAACTTCACCACTATCCCCCAGTACTTCAAGGAGCATGGCTACAATACTATAGGGATGGGGAAGATCTTTCATCCTGGCGCTTCATCTGGAGACAAAGATCCTATTTCTTGGTCTGATGGGAAGCCCAATATTGATTTTATGGGATACACTACACCATATGATGACAACACTCTGGTAAAAGCTATTACTGAATCGGAGATACTCAAAAATCCTTTGAGTGAAACTATGCTTGCCAACCATGCAATTGATACGCTGAAGAACGTTTCTCACAAGGCAAAATCTGGACAACAGAATTTCTTTGTAGCTGTTGGCTTTCAAAAGCCACATATTCCTTGGCATTGCCCTGCAAAATACCTAAACTACTACCCAACGTATTCTGTGAATCCACCGTCAAATATGTACCCTCCAAAGAATATGCCTCTCGTTGCCTGGCATCAGTATAACAATTTGGGTAATTACGATGACGTGAAAGCATTGAATTTGAGTAATGTGGGCGAGGTTGGATTCAATTTTCCAAATGACACGGTTGTACAATTTCGCCAAGCCTACTACTCATGTGCCAGTTGGATTGATGACGAGATTGGGCGCATCCTGAAGACTCTGGAAGACGAAGGACTGGCTGATGACACTATTGTCTCCTTTTGGGGTGATCACGGCTGGGCACTGGGAGAAAATGGAGAATGGGAGAAACAAACCAATTTCGAGATCGCAACACATGTACCTTTTATGGTTCGAGTTCCTGGTCTCACAGACCATGGCATCAAGACAGACAAACTCACTGAACTGGTGGATCTATTCCCAACGCTGGTTGAAGCTGCAGGATTACCCAAGCTCGATAGGTGCCTATCATATGAACACAATGTTAAGGTTTGTGCAGAAGGTGATAGTATGATGCCGCTGATGACAAATCCCAACGATGGCAGTTGGAAGCAAGCAGTCTTCTCTCAGTATTCTCATAATCTAGATGACAGTGGCCCATACATGGGGTACACAATCAAGACAGATAGATACCGTTACACAGAATGGCCACAGTTTGACTCCAACCTCTACCAACCAGACTGGGACAAACAGCAAGGCGCTGAATTGTATGACCATCAAATTGATCCCTGGGAAACCGAGAATAGAGCCAACGACCACGCTTACCTTCACACACGTCAACAGCTCAGCTGGCAGCTGCGGGCGGGATGGAGAAACGTCGGTACTCATGGAGGACCATTGGTTGGTTGATCGATTTTCAGTTGTTAATTCCCACTGAATAAATATTGAAAGATACTGCGTATTTGTGCATATGACTAGTAAGTAGGGCCAACCGTTCAACAAACTTGTATCGTCGGGAAGACAATATTACTGTTAATCTGGGATGTCCTTGATATAGCTTATGGACAGACTTTCCCAAAACGAAGAGGATCATGAGATGAGAGGAGCTCCAGTTCAGACATACATGAGGTGAGAGGAGCTCCAGTTTAGACATACACGAGATGAGAGGAAGTCCAGTTCAGACATACACAAGGTGAGAGGAGATCCAGTTTAGACATACACGAGATGAGAGGAAGTCCAGTTCAGACATACACAAGGTGAGAGGAGCTCCAGTTCAGACATACACGAGATGAGAGGAGCTCCAGTTTAGACATACATGAGATGAGAGGAGCTCCAGTTCAGACATACACGAGATGAGAGGAGCTCCAGTTCAGACATACATGAGGTGAGAGGAGATCCAGTTTAGACATACACGAGATGAGAGGAGCTCCAGTTTAGACATACACGAGGTGAGAGGAGCTCCAGTTTAGACATACACGAGATGAGAGGAGCTCCAGTTTAGACATACACGAGGTGAGAGGAGCTCCAGTTTAGACATACACGAGATGAGAGGAGCTCCAGTTTAGACATACATGAGGTGAGAGGAGCTCCAGTTTAGACATACACGAGATGAGAGGAAGTCCAGTTCAGACATACACAAGGTGAGAGGAGATCCAGTTTAGACATACACGAGATGAGAGGAAGTCCAGTTCAGACATACACAAGGTGAGAGGAGCTCCAGTTCAGACATACACGAGATGAGAGGAGCTCCAGTTTAGACATACATGAGATGAGAGGAGCTCCAGTTCAGACATACACGAGATGAGAGGAGCTCCAGTTCAGACATACATGAGGTGAGAGGAGATCCAGTTTAGACATACACGAGATGAGAGGAGCTCCAGTTTAGACATACACGAGGTGAGAGGAGCTCCAGTTTAGACATACACGAGATGAGAGGAGCTCCAGTTTAGACATACATGAGGTGAGAGGAGCTCCAGTTTAGACATACACGAGATGAGAGGAAGTCCAGTTCAGACATACACGAGGTGAGAGGAGCTCCAGTTTAGACATACACGAGGTGAGAGGAAGTCCGGTTTAGACATACACGGAGTGAGAGGAAGTAAGGTTTAGACATACACGATATGAAAGGAGCTTCAGTTCAGACATACACGAGGTGAGTGGAAGTCCGGTTTAGACATACACGACGTGAGAAGAAGTCGAGTTTAGACATACACAAGGTGAGGGGAAGTAAGGTTTAGACATACACGAGGTGAGGGGAAGTAAGGTTTAGACATAAATGAGGTGAGAGGAAGTCCGGTTTACACATACACAAGGTGAGAGGAGCTCCAGTTCAGACATACATGAGGTGAAAGGAAATAAGGTTTAGACATACACGAGGTGAGAGGAAGTCTGGATTAGACATACACGAGGTGAGAGGAAGTCTTGTTTAGACATACAAGAGGTGAGAGGAAGTCTGGTTTAGACATACACCAGGTGAGAGGCAGTCCGGTTTAGACATACACGAGGTGAGAGGAAGTCTGGATTAGACATACACGAGGTGAGAGGAAGTCTGGTTTAGACATACACGAGGTGAGAAGAAGTCTGGTTTAGACATACACCTGGTGAGAGGAAGTATGGATTAGACATACAAGAGGTGAGAGGATCTGGTTTAGACATACAAGAGATGAGAGGAGTTCCAGTTTACACGAGGTGAGACCGGTTTAGACATACACGAGGTGAGAGGAAGTCCGAGATGAGAGGAGTTCCAGTTCAGACATACACGAGGTGAGAGGAAGTATGGATTAGACATACACGAGGTGAGAGGAAGTCCGGTTTAGACATACACAAGGGTGAGAGGAAGTCCGGATTTAGACATACACGAGGTGAGAGGAAGTCCATACAAGAGGTGAGAGGGAAGTTTTAGACATACAAGAGGTGAGAGGAAGTCCGGTTTAGACATACACGGAGTGAGAGGAAGTAAGGTTTAGACATACACGATATGAAAGGAGCTTCAGTTCAGACATACAAGAGGTGAGAGGAAGTCCGGTTTCGACATACACGAGAGGAGAGGAAGTCAACACGAGAGGGATGTCCGGTTTAGACATATGAGGTGAGAGGAAGTCCGGTTTCGACATACAAGAGGAGAGAGGATGTCTGGTTTAGACACACACAAGATGAGAGGAGCTCCAGTTCAGACATACACAAGGTGAGAGGAAGTCCGGTTTAGACATACACGAGGCGAGAGGAAGTCCGGTTTAGACATACATGAGGTGAGAGGAAGTCTGGATTAGACATACACGAGGTGAGAGGAAGTATGGATTAGACAAACACGAGAGGAGAGGAAGTATGAGAGGTGAAGGAGCGGGTTTAGACATACACGAGATGAGAGGAAGTCCGGTTTAGACATACACGAGGTGAGAGGAAGTCCGGTTTAGACATACACGAGGTGAGAGGAAGTCCGGTTTAGACATACACGAGATGAGAGGAAGTCCGGTTTAGACATACACGAGGTGAGAGGAAGTCCGGTTTAGACATACACGAGGTGAGAGGAAGTCCGGTTTATGAGGTGAGAGGAGTCCAGTTCAGACACAGACAACGAGGTGAGAGGAAGTCCAGTTTAGACATACATGAGGTGAGAGAGCAATGAGAAGGAGGTTTAGACATACACGAGGTGAGAGGAAGTCCGGTTTAGACATACACGAGGTGAGAGGAAGTCCGTTTAGACATACAAGAGGTGAGAGGAAGTCTGGTTTAGACATACACGAGGTGAGAGGAGGATACACGGGTGAGAGGAAGTCCGGTTTAGACATACACGAGGTGAGAGGAAGTCTGGTTTAGACATACACGAGGTGAGAGGAAGTCCGGTTTAGACATACACGAGGTGAGAGGAAGTCTGGTTTAGACATACACGAGGTGAGAGGAAGTCTGGATTAGACATACAAGAGGTGAGAGGATGTCTGGTTTAGACACACACGAGATGAGAGGAGTTCCAGTTCAGACATACACGAGGTGAGAGGAAGTCCGGTTTAGACATACACGAGGTGAGAGGAAGTCCGATTTAGACATACACAAGGTGAGACGAAGTCCGGTTTAGACATACATGAGGTGAGAGGAAGTCCGGTTTAGACATACACGAGGTGAGAGGAAGTATGGATTAGACATACACGAGGTGAGAGGAAGTCCGGTTTAGACATACACGAGGTGAGAGGAAGTCCGGTTTAGACATACACGAGAGTGAGAGGAAGAAGGCCGGTTTAGACATACAAGAGGTGAGAGGAAGTCCGGTTTTAGACATACAAGAGGTGAGAGGAAGTCCGGTTTAGACATACACACAAGAGGTGAGAGGAGTTCCAGTTCAGACATACACGAGGTGAGAGGAAGTCCGGTTTAGACATACACGAGGTGAGAGGAAGTCCGGTTTAGACATACATGAGGTGAGAGGAAGTCCGGTTTAGACATACACGAGGTGAGAGGAAGTCTGGATTAGACATACACGAGGTGAGAGGAAGTCCGGTTTAGACATACACGAGATGAGAAGAAGTCCGGTTTAGACATACACGAGGTGAGAGGAAGTCCGGTTTAGACATACAAGAGGTGAGAGAGAAGTCCGGTTTCGACATACAAGAGAGATGAGAGGAAGTCTGGACATACACGAGGTGGTTTAGAGGTGAGAGGAAGTCCGGTTTAGACATACAAGAGGTGAGAGGAAGTCCGGTTTCGACATACACGAGGTGAGAGGATGTCTGGTTTAGACATACACGAGATGAGAGGAGAAGTCCGGTTTAGACATACACAAGGTGAGAGGAAGTCCGGTTTAGACATACATGAGGTGAGAGGAAGTCTGGATTAGACATACACGAGGTGAGAGGAAGTCTGGATTAGACAAACACGAGATGAGAGGAAGTCCGGTTTAGACATACACGAGGTGAGAGGAATCCGGTTTAGACATACACGAGATGAGAAGAAGGCCGGTTTAGACATACACGAGGTGAGAGGAAGTCCGGTTTAGACATACAAGAGGTGAGAGGAAGTCCGGTTTCGACATACAAGAGGTGAGAGGATGTCTGGTTTAGACACACACGAGATGAGAGGAGCTCCAGTTCAGACATACACAAGGTGAGAGGAAGTCCGGTTTAGACATACATGAGGTGAGAGGAAGTCTGGATTAGACATACACGAGGTGAGAGGAAGTATGGATTAGACAAACACGAGATGAGAGGAAGTCCGGTTTAGACATACACGAGATGAGAAGAAGGTCGGTTTAGACATACACGAGGTGAGAGGAAGTCCGGTTTAGACATACAAGAGGTGAGAGGAAGTCCGGTTTCGACATACAAGAGGGAGAGGATGTCTGGTTTAGACATACACGAGATGAGAAGAAGGCTGGTTTAGACATACACGAGGTGAGAGGAAGTCCGGTTTAGACATACAAGAGGTGAGAGGAAGTCCGGTTTCGACATACAAGAGGAGAGAGGATGTCTGGTTTAGACATACACGAGATGAGAAGAAGGCCGGTTTAGACATACACAAGGTGAGAGGAAGTCCGGTTTAGACATACATGAGGTGAGAGGAAGTCTGGATTAGACATACACGAGGTGAGAGGAAGTCCGGTTTAGACATACACCTGGTGACAGGAAGTCCGGTTTAGACATACACGAGGTGAGAGGAAGTCCGGTTTAGACATACACGAGGTGAGAGGAAGTCCGGTTTAGACATACACGAGGTGAGAGGAAGTCCAGTTTAGACATACACGAGGTGAGAGGAAGTCCAGTTTAGACATACACGAGGTGAGATGAAGTCTGGATTAGACATACATGAGATGAGAGGAAGTCTGGATTAGACATACATGAGATGAGAGGAAATAAGGTTTAGACATACATGAGGTGAGAGGAAGTCTGGATTAGACATACATGAGATGAGAGGAAATAAGG